TTCCCCCCCCTCCTTCCTCTCTTCAATTCTCTAAAAATCAATGGAAAAATATTCTTAGGTGAGGATTTAAAAAAAGCAGGTGAAATTAATATGTTGTATTTAATCCAGTATAACCACAATATTTCAACATGTGGAGAGTATAAAAAATACAAATGAGATAGCTTACATTCTTATAGTCTGCAACAAGTCTGTGAAATTCCATTCTTTTTATGCTTACTCCTACATTTTCATCAGAAAGAGTTGGTCTGGCTTTAAGTTTCATAACATTTATAGCTGAAAATGTAGATTCCCATGCCCAAGCCTTCCCAACATAAAGTTTTCCATGAGCTCAATTGCATATTGGTTTTTAAATTGAAATGTTAATTGATTAAAATTAAGTGACATGACATGAAAGCATAGATTAGACTGACAAAAGTCAGAGGGATGGAGGAGGAGAGATTAACCAAGGAATTTATATGAATATGTGCACAACCCAAGGACATGGACAATGGTGTGGAGAGGGACTGGGGAGGGGTATGGGATGGGGTGGAATGGGTCATTGGGGAGAAAAAAGGACATTTGTAATATTTAAAGAAAAAAAAATTAAGTGATATGGAAAGTTCTGTTTCACAATGGCAATAGCTATATGCAGGTGCTCATGAGCCCCTGTCACAAGTAGCTACCTTATTATTGGACAGCTCAGGTCTGAAATTGAACTAGTCACTCTCCTGCTTATAATATGAATGATTTTCTGTTTTTTTCAATATGAGAACACAATACCTCCCCGCCCGCTTCACTTTTCACGGTTTCCTGCCTCAACCTTGGTCCCAAAATATTAAATGGAAAATTCCAGAAATAAACAATTCATATGTTTTATTTTTTTGTTAATATAAAGCAACATATTTTTATTCATTCTCTGTAAAATCTACATCATAAATTTAGACCTCATCTAGCCACATACTCAAGGAAACAATTCATGTTTTAAATTGTGCACTGTTCTGAGTATCATGATGAAAAATGAAATCTTGCTCTGGCTGGTGTGGCTCAGTTGGGTGTCAACTTGTGCACCGAAGGGTTGCTGATTTGATTTTGGTCAGGGCACATTCCGGGGTTGCTGGCTCAATCCCCAGTAGGGGGTGTGCATGAGGCAGTAGATCTATGTTGCACTTTCACATCGATATTTCTCTCTTCCCCCTTTCTTTCTCTCTAAAATCAATAAAAACAGACCCACCTGGTTTTTCTCAGTGGTTAGAGCATCGGCCCACTGATTGAAGGGTCCCGGGTTCGATTCCAGCCAGGGGCACATACCTTGGTTGCAGGCTTGATCCCCACCCCTGTCAGGCTGAGTGCAGGAGGCAACCAATCAATGTGTCTCCCTCCCTTCCACTCTGAAAAGCAATGGGAAAAAATATCCTCAGGTGAGGATTAAAAAAATTGATAATAAATGAAATAAAAACATGAAAAACAAACATGCAATGCCTGACTTTAGTCAGGGGCATTGACCTCTTTTTCCTTAGATTGTCAAATTTAAAAATGGCAGCAGCCAACACAACAATAGCCATCTGTTGTGAATGAATCAAAATTACACCCTTTTTTGTCAGCTCAACAAAAATATATTTTTTGGTGTGCTGTAGAATTTTTGTAATTAGTTTATGTGTGCCATGAGATGAAAAATGTTGAAAATAATTGACCTAGCGTATCAGAGAGAGATCCCTCCATTCACATAACTTTTATTACAGTAATTGTTATAATTGTTCTATTTTATTATTATTAATTTCTGACTGTGCCTAATTTATAAATTAAACTTTATCACTGGCATGTATGTATAGGAAATAACAGTATATATAGGTTTTATACTATTCACAGTTTTAAGCATCTGCTGGGGTTCTTGGAAATCTCCTCCTTCAGTAAAGGGGCACTACTGTATTGTTTTTAAGACTATATGTTTTGTTTCCACAACCCACAAGCCCCAGCTTCAGTCCAGCCAAATTGACCCTCTCTGTTCCATAAAAATCTGACATAGCACTTCCAGCTCAGAGCCTCTAACTAGATTCTCTTCTCCCTGTTCTTGGGGTGGCTGGTGCCTTCTTGTCATTTGTTTCTCTGTTTAAATGTTTTCTCCTCAGAGAAACCTTTCCAAGGGTCCCCTGGACAGTGTTCATACTTAGAGTGTAAGCCTGAATATCACTGATCCAAGCTACCAGCATTTCTCTCTTTTTTAAATTGATTTTAGAGAGAGGGGAAAGGAGAGGGATAGAGAGACAGAATCATCGATGAGAGAGAAACACCATCCATCGGCTGCCTCCTGCAGGCTCCCTTCTGGAGAGTGAGTCTGAAACCCGAGAATTGAACAGTGACTTCTTGGTTCATAGGTCGATGCTCACCCACTGAGCCACCCCTGCCAGGCTCAGCTACTAGCAGTTCTTATCCAGCCAACTCTGTGGCCTCTCTAGAGTCTTAAGGCCACATAATGGTAGGTATATTTTTGTATCTACATGCCACATTAAAATATTTTTTTTGCATTTTAAAAAAATGGAAAGATTTTTTTTTCATCTTTGAAATTACTTGGTTACAAGAAAATTCACATTTGTAATGTCTGTGATTTCTTCGCAATCGTTGGGCCTACATGGACATTTTTGTGACGCAAGAAAATCTAATTTTCAAATTATTTCCAAATGTAATTTGAGTGCTTATGAATACTAAGTGTAATGATGAATGAAGTTGCCATTTTGTTACATTTTCTAGATGTTTAATTAAACATCTGTTCATTCCGACTTTGTAGTTTTCTTTTTGCACTGTGAAATTTTCCTCTATCCCTAGTCCCAACCTTTTCATAGCCTCCGAAAAGCTCATCAGCTTGGTGGTGCTGATAAAGAAAATGGCTCCACCCTGCTGGGGGTGGCTCAGCAATTGAGCATCAACCTAGGATCCAGGAGATCTTGGTTCAATTCCTAGTCAGGGCACATGCTCAGGTTGCGGGCTCGATCCCCAGTTGAGGGCGTGCAGGAGGCAGCTGATCAATGACTCTCTCATCACTGATGTTCAACTCTCTCCCTTCCTCTCTCTGAATCAATAAAGATACATTTAAAAAGAAGGGAGGGAGGGACGGAAGGAGGGAGAGAGGGAGAAAATGGCTCCATACAGCTGGCTGAATAATCCTCACTTATAAACCAGATCATGTCATTTCTCTACTTAAAACCTTCAGAGCTTGTCGTACTTAGAATGAAACCTAAGATCTTTACTATAGCTTAGGCGGCCCTGCGTGGTGGCCTCAGCTGACCTCTTCAGGCCTCATCAACCAGTCTCCCTCTTGTCACCACTTTCAAGCCCTTCTAGCTTTATTTTCTGTCTTTCAACACAATAAGCTTATTCCAGCTGCAGGGCTTTGCACTTGCTGTTCCTTCTGTCTGGAACTGCTTCCTTCAGATGATTGTATGGTTGTCTCATTCTCATCTTTACGGTTAAGTCAAATGTCCCTCTCAAGCCTTCCTGGACCACCCTAGTGAAAGCAGCCCTTCCTTACTCACAGCG